ACAGTCCTCGCTACAGTGTTACAGTGCTACAGTGTTACAGTCCTCGCTACAGTGTTACAGTCCTCGCTACAGTGTTACAGTGTTACAGTGCTACAGTGTTACAGTCCTCGCTACAGTGTTACAGTGTTACAGTGCTACAGTGAACTAAAGGAAATAAGGAAAGCTGAGATGAGAGGCACAGTCTGTAAAGTGTTTTTTTGCCCTCATGTTATGTAATGTTGTCATTTTAAAAAGCAGTTAGCATTGTGACATGTTTTTAATTTGCTTGTTGATTTTGTCCTGAAGTTACAAACTAACAGCAACAAATCAAAGTAAACCCTCACAGTTGACACACTCAAACTGTGAATCCAGCCTGGCAGCAGTAATAACAATAGTTGTGATTGGTCCTGCTCATCACATCAGTGATGCAGTAATCCACCACTGTGTACTCACAGAGTAGACCTACTAATTCACCTCAAAGCAGACGTATACATGAAGAGCAACACTGTAACCTCACTGCTAATAACTGCAAAGCTTCATATTATCTCTGACGGCCAAAAACACATCAGCTCTCACACACACCCAGAAACTCAACGCCACACGTTTTATGTCAGCACAAAAACTATTCTTTGTGTGTGTGGTGTATGTGTGTGTGTGTGTGTGTGTGTGTGTGTGTGTGTGGTCCCTCAGTAATGCTCAGGAGCCCTCACAGGGCCTCAGTACTCACCCAGAAATACATCATCATCTTCGCTGAGAGGGGATGAGAGAGGTTAGAAGATGAAGATGCAAGGAAACCAGAGAGACCAGCGCTCTTCCTCTTTTTCTCTCTGTGTCCTGTGTGTTCGAGTGTTTTCAGTGTCTGCGCTGCTCTTCTTCGTCACTCAGTTTGTTTTTGCTGTTTGCTAAGTGTTCGCTGACGGCCTCTGTGTTTGCAGCAGTTAAAAAATCCTTTTCATGTGTTCCTCTGGCCCTGAACACAGTGGGTCTTCCTCTCTCTTGCTGCCTCTTTTTGCTTCTTAAAATTGCTGCAGAGCTTCTCAGTCTGCTTCTCCTCCCCCTGAACCTTTCCAAAAGTCCCCCTTTGCTTCTTTGCCGTAGGGAGAAGGAAAGAGAGAAATAGTGCTGAGAAGGAGAGAGTACTGTGAGACGCCGTTACTCTACACTCTGTTATTTATTCTTCCTTTCACTTCTTTTCCGCCTGCCTCTTCTTCCTCTCCTTGTCCAACTTGAGCTTTCACTCAGTGCTCAGCTCTTCCTGCCTCCATCTTTCCCTGCGTTTCGCCGATGTTAACTATCCTCGTGTTCCACTTACACACAGTCAAACCTGCCTCCTCTCAGTCTGAGCACACGCTCGCCTCTTTTCTTCTTTCATTCCCAGTAGTTCCAGCTCAGCAGCTCTGCTCTAAGGGAACACCAGTCTGAGAGCCACTTTCTTTAACAGCGCTGGCGGGTGAAAAGCACTGGAACGAGTCGGGCTGGGAAAACCTGGAAGTCACCACGCTGTACAGCAGCGCAGAAGCTTTCAAGCTGGGAGGAAAAAAGGAAGAGAGAAAGAAGGAGAGCGGCTAAGAGGAGGGAGAAAGAGATGAACTGTGAAGGGACGCTGCTGTGGCAGATACACGCTGGGAGGTGGTGGATGGCGAGAGGCTGCGTGGAAGTTGTGGGATAGCCGACGGACGTGGCGGAGCACAAATGACAAGGAAAGACGAGATTAGAAAGAGAGAAAAGGCAAAGATGCAAAGAGCTGTGAGGGAGGAAGACGGAGCAGCTTGGCAGCTTTTCCCTTTACGCGAAAGAGCCAAAGATAGCAGCTGGTTTTATTAAGGAGCACCGGGGAGGAAGAGGACGGGAGGTTCATCCATGATGTGTGTGGGGGGTCAGAGGCAAGACAGCCGCCACACAAGCTTAGAAGAACCAGCATGAAGTGGAGCTGCTTCCTCTGCTTGTTGTTCTGTTGTTG